TTTGACCTCAGTTCCCAAGTACCTCTTTGAACTTTATTGAGCTTAACTCCCAAATACTTCACAGAGTCACAGTGTTCCCAAGAACTTCATGGACCTCAGCGCCCAAGTACTTTATTGACCTTAGTATTCAGTATCCTTTGACCTCAGCTCCCAAGTGCTTCATTGACCTCAGTTCCCATGTACTTCATTGACCTCAGTTCCCATGTACTTCATTGACTTCGGTTCCCAAGAATTTCATTGACTTCAGTACTCTTTGAACTTTATTGAGCTTAACTCCCAAATACTTCACAGAGTCACAGTGTTCCCAAGAACTTCGTGGACCTCAGCGCCCAAGTACTTTATTGACCTTAGTATTCAGTATCCTTTGACCTCAGCTCCCAAATGCTTCATTGACCTCAGTTCCCATGTACTTCATTGACCTCGGTTCCCAAAAATTTCATTGACTTCAGTACTCACTTATATTTTGATCTCAGTTCCCAAGTACCTCTTTGAACTTTATTGATCTTAACTCCCAAATACCTGATAGAGAACTCTGTTTCCCAAGAACTTCATGGACCTCAGCGCCTAAGTACTTTATTGACCTCAGCATTCAGTCTCCTTTGACCTCAGCTCCCAATGACTTCACTGACTTCAGCTCCCAATGCCTTCATTGACCTCAGTTTTCAAATACTTCATTGACCTCAGTTCCCATTGACTTTATCGATCACGGCTCCAAAGTACTTCATTGGCCTCAATTATTAAGAACTTTATTGACCTTAGCTCCCAAGTACTTCATTGTCGTCAATTCCCAAGTACTTGTTTGTTCTTCATTGACCTCTGTTCCCGAGTACTTTATTGACCCGAGTGCTCAAGCATTCATTGACCTTAGCGCCAAATTAGTAAAGAATACTTAGATTAAGATTAATTGAAATAGTTTGTTTCTCAAAGTGTATCTGTCTCTCTCCCGCAGGAGGAAAGTAAATCGGACGTGAAGTTTCCATTCCAGTGCAATCTCTGTTACAAGGGATTCAACTATGAGAGCAAACTAGAGAATCACATGAAGAAACATAGTCCCGTAAGTTATATTTCATAACGATCGTAAATTTATTACTTGAATGTTTTGTGCTAAAAGAATAGGTATGATGACAAATTTTTGTTTGTTTGTCCGTCAGGTAGAGTGTTAAAAGATATTGAATACGTATTTTTTTATTTTTTTCGTAATCATAAAATTACGGCGTTACACTGAGTTGAAATTTCGCATGACGTCACGTTAGAGTACGTTTTCTACTAAACTGACGTAGCGAGCCCCCACTCCTCAACTTTAATGCCTGTTATCTAAGTTATTTCTTGTTAAATTGAAGTAAAAAAAAAACGTATCTAATATTTTTCTATTATCTCACTGACGGACTAAATAGAATTGCATTTTTTTTACCCAGTCGTCATCCCTATTATACTTATACTTGATCTAGTTTGCATTCACAGTGCTAAATTAATAAATATATTAAATGAAAAATGCTTAAAGGTTGCAACAGACGGTTAAGATGCTATAATATGATATTGTTATCGGCGTGATATTTCATCTACCCGTTACTAGATGGCGATACGTGTCATTTGAATCGCGCTGACACCATTACAAACAACGAGTTATATAGGTATACGGCGAGGAGAAAGGGACGGTCACTAGTTCTAGTTCTATTGTAGGACTTTTTGGTAATCCCTCGAATGTTCTAGATGTGGTATCGGGTCATACCCGTTCCAGCACTCTTTCACTGACTAGTGAACTGAATAAGAGAACATCGGAAGCGAATTTTAAGGCGATAGCTAGTGCGGTGAACGATCTACTAGTGTTGTGAAATAGTGAATTTTGTAATTTTAAATTCAGTTGGCGTAATTTTTTTATACCGAACCCTAAGTCGTAACAGTAACATAAAATATCTCGTCGTACATTCCAATGGTCCAACACACACAGCTAAGATGATATAACACTATCATGATAAGTATCTCAAGATGTCAAGCGAAACGAAAATATATGTTTCGTAGGTAAAGATAATATCTTCAAACTAACGAATTATTTATAGTAATAATATAGTCGGAATACAGCGGCTTGTAGTATAATAAAATCGTAAATTGTGATATGAAAAGGCAGATGATAAATATATATACGTCGCAGAATATCTCCAGAGACTAGCGTGATCATCGATACTTTTAATTTTATTAGAATGGTAACACTGACTTTGAAAGTTCGTTAACGAAAAGCAAGTTGCCGCCATTTTGGCACACATTCTGTTTCCGATCGCCGAGGAGTAAAGACATCCGACGACATCGCGCTCATCTCGTTATATTTTCGTATGAAAGTGATAGAATGGAACAAATCCACGTTGGTATTCACGCCTGCAGTGTTATTTTAAAGATAGTCCTCAGATATGGACGATCTATTTGGGCTATGTAATAGCCCCTTCTGACTACCCGCCGACATATATTTAGAGAATAAGTAGAAATAAAAATTGGGAATGTAAACTAAATTGCAAATGAAATGTAATAGTTGATGAAAAGACAAGACAAGGGTAAAAGAACATACCCACAAATCAGGTGTTTAATACTCTAGAAAAATAAAAAGATCATCATCTTCATCATCGTCACCAGCCCTTTTACGTCCCCACTGCAGGGGCTCAGACCTTCCTTATGGATGGCCAAGGAGGATCGGATTTTTTTTTTCTAGAAAAAGATAAAGGACATCTAATATAAAGGAATGAAAACGACCTGATACAGATCGGGGAGTCTGAAATTAAAAAAAAAGCGTGTCTTATAGCTTTAACTGTTAAAATATGTTATTTTAAAATATCATGAGATGAAATAAATAAGATGTTAAAATATGTTATTTTTAGATACTATGAGATGAAATATAAAAGTATCTCAACTGTCTCATGACCTTAACAATTCCAACTCGAACTCATAACCGTTTACGTATTTTTGTTAATAATGATAAAGTAATGACTGACGTGTTCCCCCCCCCCCCCCTCCGTTGTCCAGTCCCGCGGCACGTTCGAGTGCACGCTGTGCCGCATGTACCTGCCGACGCTGTACAGCTACAACGTGCACGCGCTCATACACACGCGCCGGTACGAGTGCCGCGACTGCGGCCGCCGCATGACCGACCGCGCCTCCATACTGGACCACTACAGGTGAGCGGGGATAGAGGGTGTGGTCAGTAGTGGGATGGGTGACCGCACGTGCCTCCATATTCGGGACCACTGCAGGTGAGATGGCTCATGTGCAGGGAAAGAGGGTGTGGTCGGTGGTGGGCGACCTACTGCGCCTTCATGTTGAACCACTATAGGTTTGGTGAGTGAGGTATCTAAGTGAAAGTAATTTAAAAAAGAATCTGTTCTCCGTTTTGAAATATAAAACATTATATATAACTTAGACACCGATTGTGTAGGTCTTGAACTCCTACGTAATTCAAGTAGTCTCGAATATTACAAGCTTTCTGCCAGCAGCTTTGTCCGAGTGGTGCTTTGGAAACAGTTTAGTGGGGTAATAATTAACCTATATGTCATTTCAAGCTTATAATTTGCCACCAAATTTCATTATTAATTTTATATTTTATGAATAAAAGAGAAACAAACGAACTTTCGCATTTATTCTAAGTGTTATTAATGTAAGAGTTATTCATATCATTATTTTGTTTCAGGACGCAGCACGAAGGTCAACTTACCTTATATACTTGTGATATCTGTGGCAAAGTTTCAAAGTGAGTAATATAAATAATAATCATATTATAGGTGGCTCGTGTGCAGAGACATATTCATAATGTCCGTGCATTAAAAATAATATATTTATGTGCTTGAAAATATGTTATACTAGCTTTCCGCCTGCGTCTACGCCCGCGTGGTCCCTAGGGAATTAGTTAGTGGAATTAGTAGTAGATTGTAACTTATATACTTATAATATGTATACCAAATTCCTTCAGAATCCGTTCAGAGTTTTTGCGTGAAGATGTAACAAATATCCAAACTGACAAACTTTTCTCCTTTATTATATTAGTAAGATAAGTATTTCGTAAAATTAATAATGTTCATGTTTTAGTATAATTGCATGCTGTTAAAATACTAAAATTGAACAGTAAAGGATCTAAGACACCACCCTGAGGAACACCACATCTAATAGATTTCTTGATTAGAATACATACAAATTTCAGTAATTTCAGTATATATACTGAAGTTTATCTTATAAGGAAGATTTGATTAAGTTAAACACATTAGCTTGAATACCACAATGGTGTAAATTTTCCAATAAAATGTTATGATCGACAATGTCTAATGCTTTCGTCATATCCTAGTATTAACAATGCACTATTTAACGCATGAAGATATTAGTTTATTTAGACAAAGAATATATCTTCTAATTATTATTTATTTGCGAAATCTTATTTGTAATTGTTTATTTTATTTAAATATTTCGAAAAAATAAACGCGTTTTCTTGCCTTAAACTTGAATCAAAATTTAAACTTTTTTTACACCCGCGAAAACGCTGTCCGTTCATATTCATGACGTCATTGTGATATGTACACAAACCCTTAATTCTATGCACAAAACAGATGGATAAAGCAGAAGATTAAAAGATGTCAATAAAACAATAACAATGCCATCTAACGATTGATTTCGCAAATCATTTTCAATTTGGAATTTGAAAGATATTCACGAAGTTCGTACTTTTTGAACGAATATTGACGCTAATTTTACTATAATTGTAATGTCCTTGGCAAGTTATAGTCAGAAATATTACTTTAGGTTACTAAGTTCTGTGCCTACCCCGCAAGGGCATAAAGACATAGCTAAGTTTTTATTGTGTTTCTTGATCATTTAAATCTTCATTCGTTCTGAAAGCGATTGCAACATTAAACGTTACATAATTCCACAAATACCTATAGCCTTAATATTGAGATCAGGCGTCTGGCTTAAGAATTAACGTGAAACCAAGGCCTATACTATTTCTCCGAAACGAATTTTCTTCCATTTTCGAAATGCAACGGTAAGATCTGATACATACAGATATCTAGATGGGAAATGATTTTAATGAAATTATAAGAACGATTCGAAATTTTCCGAATTTGCTTTGAAGAACAAATAGAATAAACTTCCAGGTGTTGTCACGTTACATCGTATTAGCTCCGAAAGTACTGGACCGATTTGAGAAATTCTTTCACCTGCGCTAAGCTAGTTAACCCTGCGTCGGCACAGTCTATGCTCAAAGCGGGCCAAGTCGCGGCAAAGCGTCTAGTTATGTGTATAATTGTGCAGCAACAACAAGACCCACCGCGGGCACATGCGCAACCACCACAGCGGCGCGCGGCCCGCGTGCGCCGTCTGCGCGCGCACGTTCGTCAACAAGGACGCGCTCGCCGAGCACCTGCTGTGAGTATACCAAATAGGGACAGAGTTGGTCAAATAGTGACAGAGGTGGTCAAATAGTGACAGAGTTGGTCAAATAGTGACAGAGGTGGTAAAGTAGTGACAGAGGTGTCAAATAGTGGCAGTTTGTCAAATAGTGACAGATTCGGCCAAATAGTGACAGATTCGGCCAAATAGTGACAGTTTCTCAGATAGTAATTTAGTTTGTCAAATAGGGACAGACTGTGTAAAATAGTGACAGAGTTGGTCAAATTAGGACAGATTTAGTCAAATAGGGACAGAGTTAGTCAAATAGGGACAGACTGTATCAAATAGGGACAGACTGTATAAAATAGTGACAGAGTTATTCAAATAGTGACAGAGTTGGTCAAATTAGGACAGATTTAGTCAAATAGGGACAGAGTTAGTCAAATAGTGACAGAATTGGTCAAATAGTGACGGAAATTTTTCATTCGGTGGCAGGATATCGTAAAAAATGATAGCATATCTTATATAGCGTCGAGTTTTATCTTAAATAGTTCCAGGATTTGTCAAATAGTGACAGGATTTCTCCCAATGTGAGGGGATTTCTCAATTCAAATAGTTACAGATTACCTTTCATATTAATTGTTTTATCTTAAACCTTGACGATTTTATTGCAAATATTGAGTTATTCTTCTTTAATAACGTCTGTTTTTCTCAATATGTAACGGGGTTTTTCGAATATTGACTTATGTTTTTAATAATTTGTTTTCAATTGTAAATAATGGGATATTCTGAAATAATTACAGATATGTCAAGTAGTGACAGGTGTTCTATACTTATAATATCAGCTTTCTTAACAACAGATATAAACACAAACAAAACTGAGCCTTATGATTTTTATTTAAGGCATATTATGTTAGATTGATATTAATCCTGATATTAGAGTATATTTTATTACTTAATATTTTAAAGATGGTGTCTTAGTTGTATTGCTGATCATCATCATCAAGCCTTTTACGTCCCCACTGCAGGAGCTCAGACCTTCCTTATGGATGGTTAAGGAGGATGGGCCATGACCCTCCACGCTGGCCCAATGCGGATTGGAGGGTATTAACGTCTGCAAATGCAGCCGGGACCGACGGCTTAACGTGCCTTCCGAAGCACGGAGTAGCTCGAGATAATATGTTTTCGGTCACCCATCCCGTGACCGACCCTTGCGAAAGTTGCTTAACGACAACGATCGCGGGCCGCGGCGCTTACATAATAATAATTTATTTGTTTAGAATACATCAGGGCGTTAAGAACTACGAATGCGCCACTTGCGGTAAAAGATTCCGCACTCGAACACAAATAAAATTGCACCAGATGAAGCATTCGGACGTGAGGGATTTCTACTGCGTCGAATGTGATGTCAGGTAACACTTTATGGGCACAGGTTCTCAATACCGTCGATGCCGCCCCCGAGGGGGCGATATGAAATTCTTTAATTTTTTAATTAAAAATAATTATTTAACAAAAAATAATCTCTCCGTCTAAAGCATGTCTGGAAGAGATCACTTTATAGTGATAAGACCGCTGATTGTGACACTTAATTATATTTGTTTATGTTATGTTTTCTCCGTATTTTTGGTGTATTGTATATAAAGTGTTATCGATCTATCTATAATGTTAGTTGTACAGTATATGGCATTACGGCTAAACAGCGGTCTCTTCCTGGCCGCCTTTTTTTTCTATAGTCTATTCAACTTCCTCAAAATGTAAACAAACAAACCAATGTTTCTCAAACATTTTTATTGATGTTGGTATGTAAATAAAATTTGTTAATGTAAATAAATGGGACAAATTATTGTATGGTAGGTATGCAATACAATAAGTCTATTTCTTTTCAAATAAAACTAGCTATTGTAAGAGTAAAATAATTTTATTCAGAATTTTTCCCCGTCTTCCTCTGAGAAACTAGTCGCACCAACTTCTATCACAAAACGTTCAATCTCCTATTGTTACCCTTTTTAGAGCATCGGTTAATAAAGATTTTATTTCTTTTAACTTAAAACTTAACAATAACAGAAAACAACAAACTTAACAACTGGAATAAACAAATAACAAGAATTTAACGAAAGCATTTTGCACGAGTCAACGAGTTGATCGAGAGTAAAAATGGCCGGTATAAACCGACAAATTACAAAATTTCACGTTTCTACGTAAAGTATTTACCTTATCTCTACTCCTTAATTTAGTAGTATTATAATACGTCCAATGTTTGGGAATAGCTTCAATTTTAGGTGCTTTTAAATGTCACTTTCTTTTTTCATTCATTCTAAATGCATTTATATTTTGGCATATTAAAGAACCTTTTTCCAGTTTGTTTACATTTTGTCTCAGAGGAAGATGAACAGACTATAGTCTTAGAATGTTGCATTCAAAGAGTAATTTTAGACATAATTATAATTTATTTTTAATAAAGTTTAAAGATTGCAATTTGTGATATCTTTTTTATTATTTTAACAGATTCAAAACTGCGTATACGCTTCGGCAACATTTACAGAAATCATTGAAACACAAAGACTGGAAGAGTTTCAAGTGAGTATAATATTATATTTCTGATATGATCGAATCCTTGAGTGTTTGCCAACCTGTGCTAAGCGAAGCCCTGGGGATCCAACAGTGGCGTGCTCACCATAGATGCAAATAAGCACTGCATACCTTACCCATAAAACCCAATTAAATACTCATATATTAACTCGATACGAGTATTCAGAGACTTATGATTTGCTTAAACTAGTATAAATGCCATCTATCAAAAGTATGCAGAATTATTAGAACGTTCTAGTAAGCGGAATATTTTCCCTACCCTACGCTGGCGCCGCCGTCACCGATGCGGCCATAATCTGCACTTCTTAAAGCTTATTCGCCATACTAACAAGACAGCTCAAAACTTGTGTTATACGTAGAACCTATTTTTATGTGTGTGTAAATTTCATGCATGTGTTACGGTTTAAGAGGCACTGCTATCTCATAACCAGAGGTCGGAATTAGGTAAAGTTATGTATGTACTTGCATCGAAATGTTGAAATTAATGGGGACCTTCCCGGGATTTCTCTATTTATTTCTTTCATTGATGTAAGTTTGGCAACGGCGTTGCGTGCAGTAGTTTAAATTGTGTAAAAGTAAATAACTTTTTATTTAAAAAATCATGGGATTTTTTCTGCTCTTTAAAATTAATCTCGGGATTTGAGGCATATCCACTTTATTCTTTCGTTGTATGAAATCAGTGTAAGTACATGAATAACTCTACCTAATTCCGACCACTGTTCATAACCTGATTATATTAAGAAGTCATCAAAAGAGCAGTGTTTGCGTAAAGGGACTATTTAATTTGGCCAGTGTATCGTTAATACATTTTTTCGCCATATTGATTACTTTTCTGAGCGCAATTGATTAAGTTGTAATTCATTTATCAATCTAATAACATACTCACTTATTTACGAAGTCGCTTGAAAAAAAAAAATTCAAAGGGAAAGTGCATGCCCGGGTTTGATTCAACAAAAAAAGGTAATATTACTCGTTCTAATTGGCTAGCATTCAAAATTCCCATACAAATAATTTAACAACTATATTTTCTATATATTTACAAATTAAAAAAACTAATAGTTATAATACCAGTCAGTAGCGCGTCAACCGAACGATATTTTTATGGTTATAAAGGACTTTTGAAGCAACCTTGTCAATTTTCATGACGATTTTTTACTGAATTAAGATTTCATTCATACAAATTATGGCAATGTTCAGATTTATGCCAATCGTATTGTCGGCCGCTGGCTGTTTATATGAACATTGTCTAAATTATAGGTATTTATAGTTCAGTTGTTCTTAGTCTTACTATTTCGATACAACGAAATAATTTTTAGATAACTTAATTTGATGTTGACTAACAAATAATTATAAGCAATCGTTAAAATTTTGATTCGCGGCATCGCTACAGGCCCGGTTCTAGGGTGGGGGGCAAGTGAAGGTATTTGCCACGGGCGTCGTGTTAGGGGGGGTGCTAAATTCATTATATAATACAGATTTACAGTTAAGAACGAGTTTTACAGATCTTTTTGTACCTATTATAGGTTGCTATGGGATTGAAATATAATAAGATAAAATATTGGGTTCGTTTCGTCGAATAAACAATGTTTATCTCTGATCTTGTTTTATAAGTCGACCTCAAAATTGATCGTCTCACAGTATCGAGTTCCTGTGTATACATATAAATTCATTAATGGCTCAATGGCTAAAAGTGAAAGTAAAGAAACGATATTTAAAGTTAACTTTTATTCAATTTTTTTTTAAATACGTATTTTAAAAAGACTTTTTAAGTGTTGACATTTATAAGTTAGCAGTATTAGAAAACTAAAGAGTAAGAGTTTTTATGCATTACAAACTATCTTTATTCAAGTCATCTAAAGAAAAACTTTTTCATTACACATCTATACCACAAGAATAATATTTCCATATAAATTTTAATTGCGTCATCAATATTTTCTATCGATTCGATATATACAGGATTAAGTTGAATAAAAAAACATTACACGAAGAAAAAAATCAATTAAAAGCTTGAGATTTCAAACGATGTCGTCGCGACATTCTTCTTCCAACTCGTCCTCTAGCGAAAAACACTCTGTTATCTCTCTCGTGCGGCATAAATAAAGTGCGGGGCGGGCCGATGCCGCAGGTACGTGTGCGCGCACTGCTCGAAGCGCTTCGAGACGGAGCGGTCGCTGGGCGCGCACGTGGCGGTGCAGCACGAGGGCGTGCGCGCGCACCGCTGCGGCGCGTGCCCGGCGGCGCTGGCCTCAAGCGCGTCGCTGCGCAAGCACGAGCGCAGCGTGCACCGCGGCCGCCGCCCGCCGCCGCGCCACGTGTGCGACACCTGCGGGAAGGCGTTCCGGGTGCGTAGCGTCTACTTCACGACCTCCGTAGCCGAGCGGTTCGCACGCCGGTTACGAGGTGTCGCCATCTCTCAGGTGCCGGGTTTTCGATTCCCGGTCGGGTCGATGTAGAAAATGAACTTTTCTATATTGACTCGGGTCTGGGTGTTGTGGTACCTTCGTTGTCTCAGATGCTCCATAATACGGGGCTTTAGCTACTCATCTTGGAATCTAAGCAATATGTGTGATGTTGTTCAATATTTATTGACGTAGATACGTCTATGTTTTCGTTCTACAAGGGAGTCATTCTGTGAGCAGGAGTATATGCACTAACGCCATCTGTCGGCGCTAGTAAATACTTTTTTCATTCAATAAATGAACGCAACGAATATTTATTTATTTAGTGTCTTCAATTTGTTTATTTTTTTTTTTTAATTATTCATTTATAAATGCAATTATGCTACAACATTGCATAATTCCGGGTTGTTTTTTATCAATTACTCATATATCCATTCATACATAGACGTATCCACGCATAAAATATGGCTGTATCAATGATACAGCCAACCAGGGTTTTTTTATTATTTATAGGTCCAAACTTACTTAGAGCCGGTTTCTGAATTGAGAAAGTACAAAATCTCAACTGATTATTCTTAATAAATTAAGTTTTTTTACGTTTCATACGGCAAAAAGTATTAAATTTACCAAATCGCTATCGACTGATAATTAAAAATTTATAAATCAGCAATGAAAACATGTTTTAAAGACATTTAAAGTGGCTTAAGCACGGTTTGAGACGTGCTCGACTTCGAATTCTCAATTCAGAGACCGGGCGTTGGAGCCAGTTTTTTGATCCGCGGTGAACTCAACCGTTTGTTAAAATCTTCGACAGTGGAAAATTATGTTTTTGATTAACAATTAGCCTAACCGATTGTCAGAATTCCAAGTATTGGTCAAAAAATTTAACCACCACTGGAAGCTAGGTTAAGCGAATGACCAATGATTAAAAGAACAAATGTACAACTGCGTTGTGTTTACTTAGTCCCTTGTTGTTGTTTTTTATCTTGATCATCCTTAGTATATTTGTGCTATATAAAATAATTTGTTTTCTTGTTTCCACGGGCATATGCCAAATTATTCAATTATTAAAAATCTTATAAAATACACGAATAGACAATCAATACAAAAGGCAAATATGCCTACAGTATATAAAATACATATTTTTCGATTTATTTTCCAACATTACAATCCCACCTGGGATACTAGAGACTATATTCTTTTCACGTATTTCCCTATAAGATAAATAAAAAATAAATATATGCTTTTTATAAAAAAGTTAAGTTTAAAATAACTCGAAAAAAAAATATCTTTGTTGCTTTCTAACCTTATTAAACAACTTGCCTTTTATTTCCTAAAAAAATCCACATAGTGCATTCAACAGACCGATCATAAACATCCACACTGTTTGATAATCTATAAATTTCTTTTGTCTATTTGATATTTGAAACAAAATCCTATTGACCAGTGTTTAAATTGGGCTATGGTTTAATTTGGCATCAAAAATAGCGAGTTAACAACTAGTTAATGCTTTAACTATAGTCAAGTTAACAAATGGTGAGATAGAATAGAAATAGATTAGAAAATTGTTTATTTAGCACCACGTTACAAGTATATAACATCGATAATAGAAAAATTCAAAATTAGGTACTAAAAAGGTCTCTGCTCAGTAATATGCCGCAGTGTTTAAGCTACGGCGCTGCTTTTCAGCGGATACCTTAATCAAATAAATAAACCAACTAAAAAAAATTAAAATAAAATATGAAATGACATTTCAATACGGATCAAAAAACTGACCCTTATTCAAATATTGTACAAGTTTTAATGTATGTCTACTGATTAAGTGAGAAAATAATTCAGCCGTTCATACTGTTGGCGATTTTCTAATACAGAATACTGTGTTTTAAAATTGTCACCGTTTTGTAGGTTACGTACGGGTGTAGACAGTAAACAGAAATAAATACATACCGAGTATATTATTACCGATAATCACACTTTAATGCTTATTATATTTATGATTGAGCACCTCGGTGGCGTAGTTGATGAGCGCCGCGGCCTGCGATCGTAGTCGTTAAGCAACTTTCGCAAGGGTCCATCACGGAATGGGTGACCAAAAAATTATTATCCCGAGCTACTCCGTGCTTCGGAAGGCACGTTAAGCCGTTGGTCCCGGCTTCATTTGTAGGACGTCAATACCCGCCAATCGGCATTGGGCCAGCATGGAAAGTCATGGCCCATGCTCCTTAACCATCCATAAGGAAGGCCTGAGCCCCTGCAGTGGGGCTGATGATGATATTTATAAAATTGTTTAAATTAATTACGAAAAAACGAATATTTTATACTAAATACTGAAAACAGCGCCTGACATCACACACGACCCTCTCACTCATAACAAAGCATAGAGATTTCAACCTTATGCGTACATAGAACGACATTAGTTTAAAGGGTCGAATTTTTTTTTATAAATTTTCTTGTATAATATTAAAATATAAAAAGTTGTCTACTTCCCTATTGCGTTGTCTTACTCTATACATCACCCCATTTTCACCGTCCTGAACTTCGTCCGCCCCCAGGGGTCGTTATGCAGCGGTTTGAGAGCCAATGTTTTTTTAGGGTAAAAGTGTGTTGACAAATCACGTGCGCACCCACACGGGCGAGAAACCGTTCTCGTGCAGCGAGTGCGGGCGGAGCTTCACGCAGCGGACCGCGATGAAAACACACGTGAGACTAGTGCACCTGAAGCAGCCGAGGCACAAGGTAAGGGTGAAACGGGAAACTAGTAATACTAGGACTCGGCTGACTGTCTGTATGTCTGTCACCTGGCTGCATCTTATGAACCGTAAAAGTTGGACAGTTTAATTATTCACAGATGATGTATTTCTGGAAACTATACTCCATTCACTATAACATAAGAAAAAAGGTCACAGAAGCAGCTGTGCAGAACATTTTATTTTCAAGATAAATTTAAAAAATCTATATTAGTTTTGTTGAAACTTTGAACATAAGGTATAAGGTAGTCTGAAAGAGCTGGGCCATTTTCCATTTTTTATGATACCTCGGGGTTGAGATGAGGCCAGCATTTTATAAATTCATCTTTTAGTCCCAAGCCAACATGGAACTAAAACTGAAACTATCTGTGTGTTTTGATAAATTCTAATTGTAAGTGTAATTAGTTAGACTATTGATGAAGACATTGGAAA